ATCACCAAGCACCTTCCTCCCGCCCTCGGTCCACCGCGAAGCCCTCCTCGCCGGCTCATCATTCACGCACTTCTCGCCCGTCCCCCCGGCCCTCCTCACGCCCGCACGCGCGTCCGACCCGTCGTCCCTCCCCCCGCTCTGCCTGGGCGTCGACGAGGCCGGCCGCGGGCCCGTCCTCGGCCCCATGGTCTACGGCATCTTCTACCTGCCGCTGCCGCAGTCGGACCCCCTCCTCCGAGACGCCCACGGCTTCGACGACTCCAAGGCGCTCACGGCCGCCGCGCGCTCGTCGCTCATGCGCGCCCTCTGCACCGCCGGCACCGACCTCCACGCCCAGTGCGGCTGGGCCACCGCCGCCCTCTCCGCGCGCGACATCTCGGCCGGCATGCTCCGCCCCTCGGGCGCGTACAACCTCAACGCGCAGGCCATGGACGCCACCGTCGCGCTGGTCCGGGGCGCCCTCGAGCGCGGCCTCAACGTCCGCGAGGTCTACGTCGACACCGTCGGCCCGCCGGCCACGTACCAGGCCAGGCTGCAGCGCGTGTTCCCCACGGTCAAGATCACCGTCGCGAAAAAGGCCGACAGCCTGTACCCCTGCGTGAGCGCGGCGTCGGTCTGCGCCAAGGTGACGCGCGACGCGGCCCTCGAGGTCTTGTACGAGGCGCGGCGGGACGAAAACGGCGCCGGGCCAGGCATGGAATGGGGCTCCGGGTACCCCTCGGACGCGAGGTGCGTCGCCTGGCTGCGGAGGAATATGCACCCCGTGTTTGGCTGGGGCCCCGAGTGCAGGTTCAGCTGGGGCACGGCAAAGGACATGCTCGAGACAAAGGGCGGCGTCAGGGTCGACTGGCCCGTGGAGGAAGAGGCCGGGGATTCCATGAGGGTGACGGATTTCTTCGCTGCCGGCCGCGACGACGAGACGGACGAGCTGGGGGGCTGGTACGGCTCGCCTGCTGGGCTCGAGGCGTTTTGACGGGTTGGCAACGGCGTCTTCTTTTTCTTCTTCTCTTCTTCTTATAGCAGCAGGCAATGGCACACATAATACATGATTCATGATACGCATTGCGTCTTGGTCCCTGTGGATAGATGGATACCTGTTGAAGCTTTTGACATGAAGAAAACAGCAACCTCTGTTGTAGACATTACCTCGCGTATCCTACCCATGAAAACTACTCCACTACCCTCCCCCATTGAAAGAATCCCTCCTCGTTTTGAAAAACCCTTGGACCCTGAAAAAAATGCTCAAATGTCATCAACCTCCTCTGATGGCGATGCCTTTCTGCCCTGTCCGTCAAGGGTATCCATGCTGATGCTCTCGCGCTCACTGTACGCAGGTGCAGAGGGGACGTTCAAAGCCGACCGCGCCGCCTCTGAATTGGCAATGAAATCACGCAGCTGCTGCTTGGCAATTTCGACGCCTTGGTTGACGGCCGCGTTGCTCATTTGCATCATCGGCCCCAGGAGGTTGAGCGTGTACGCCACGTACGTGCCGCCCGCAAGCATGAGGAGGAAAATGAACAAGAAGGGGTTTCGCAAGACTAAAATGACCCTTGTCAGCATTCGACAAGATTATACACCAGAGTAGAATTGGACTTTTCTTACCCATAAAGATTTCGTTCCACCCCAACGCCAGGAGCAGCGCATAAAAAGGCCACGGGATTTGAGCCACGCCTCCAATCGCACTGCGCTTGGCTTCCACGTAGACACCGTCTGCCGTCTTCTTGAACCGGACAACCAAGTCCTGCCGTTTACCCTCACTCAGCACCGTCATCTCCTCCTCGAGGCTCTTGCCCTCATCCTCATCAACACCGCCAATGGGGCTCAGATCCTCCTCATCACCCACCTCCACACCGGCGGGCTGGCCTCCAATAAAGCTCACCAGATCCGGGGGCGCATATGTCGTAGAGAGACGGAACCTGGACAGGAGCGGGATGAGCGTGAGGGTCGACTCCCGCGCCTTGGTGTAGATGCCCTCGATGTCGTCGGTCGGCCGCCATATCCGAGGGACGCCCGCCTCATCGTACCGGAACTTGTCCTCGAAATTCTCACGCAGCTTGAGCAGGATGTTGCCCTCCATGACCTCTTCCTCAATCTTCTCGCGGAGTCCTACCCAGCTCTTGCGACGCAAACGCCACATGCCAACCTCGGCCTCGTCATCGCTGGCGTCAAAGCTCCTGGCACGGTCAGCGAAGCGGCCCTCGGCCTCCTTGACGATGCCAGCAAAGACGTTCCAAACACGATCCCAGAGATCCTTCTCGCTAGGCTTCTCACCAGTCTCTGGAGCACCCGTGCCGGCTCGCCCCGAGCCGAGCTTGTTGAATTCGAGCCCAATGGCCTCTCCGAGACGAGACTTGACCCAGCGCTCGACTCTGGTCGCAAGCCGCCGCATCTCTTCCTTGCGCAGCTTCCCACTGACCTCGTCGAGCTCGGCCTCAAACAGCTGATACTGGGGCTTAAAGTTGGTCCACGGAAGATCCTCAATGGCGAGCCCCTGCGCTTCACTCTTGAAAATGTCCAGCGTCTTCGTCTTCTCGCTGGCGACAATCTCGGCAAACTCGTAGCCGCCGCCCGCCTTTTGCCCCGCCTTGACCTTGTTGGACACGGCGTCGCTGAATGCACCAACGCCGGCCTTGTGCGCGGCCGCCAGTTGGCCCATGTATAGCGCCTTGAGTCTCGCATCGACCTTGGCCTCCAACTCTTGTCTTTTGCGCGTATACACCCCCTTGTGGTACCTGCTGGCTTGCGTCTCAAAGGCGCGCAGGAGCGCTCCTCGGGCATCACTACCGACACCACCAAGGTCGGGGAGGACCAAAATCTTTCCGAGCTTGGTCGCCTCGCCTTGCTGCTCTTCAAGGGGGGCCACAATAAGATCAAACGCCACCAAGACTTCGCGCGAGATTTCATCGCATCGAAACTGCGCCAACAGCTCTTGCTGAGTGGGCAAGTCGAGGTCCTTGTTGTTCACAATCTGATCCCAGATACCCTCGGCGTAGACTGAAAAGCCATCGGCGGGAATTCTGCGATGATACTCGGAAAGGAAAACCCCGCCTTCGAGCTCGTGGTCGCTGCCCTTGTTGCCCTTGTGGCCCGCCGTAAATCTCGAACCAAGCTTGTCGACCTCGCTGGTGAACTTGTCGGCCTGGAGAATCTTGTGGGGCAGCGCAGCGAAGCCAAAGTCGAAGTAGTCTTCAATTCGAGAGCTTTCGAGGCCCTGGGGCTTTGAGATGGTGGACCAAATCTTGGTGAGATCTTGTATCAATGTGGTGCGAAGGTTGGCCAGGGGAGTCGTGCCGAGGTGGTCTCGAATGACGAAGAAGAGCAATGATCGCGGTGTTGACCTATCAAGACGACTTAGCGGGCAATTCGGCTGTCATGGTGCGAATGCAAAGGGCATACTGCTTATCCTTGAGAAATAGTTGCAGGTTGACCTCGAAAACGGTCTTGAGCAAGCCCATGTTTGCCCCCTGATACAACCCCACCTGGTGCTCCCAGATGTTGACAATCAGGACCTCGCTGGTGGCCAGGGCAAAGAGCGCACTCTTTCTCTCGAAATCCTGGTCCTCGCCGCGCTCGCGACCATCGGTCCCCTCGACGTCCATGACGAGAATGTTGTCGGCCATCTTTGCGCCGCCGCTTTCCTCGCGCTTGTTCTTGGACATCCAGATGCCCTTTGTGGTCTGGCGACGCTCCGTCTCGGACATGACGGAGAATTCGGTGCCAAAGAGACTATTCAAAAGGGTCGACTTGCCGGTGGACTGGGAGCCGAAGACGGAAATCAGGTGGTAGTTGAAGCCCGAGTCGGCGACATTTGTGGTCTGCAGGTATTCGTTGAGGTTCTCACTGCGCATGTTAGCGACGGCCACGGACTGTGCTGCGGGCATTTCAACTCGTGGCCAGACGTGCGTACTTGAATTCCTTGTCCTCGTCAATGACTTGGACACCGTGCTCGAAGCTTCCGCCAGCGGGCTTGTCGCCCACGGCAGCAAAGTGGCCGTTCATGATTGCAGTGGGAACGGAATATGCAAAGCGCCAGGGGCCGAAGCAACCATTAGCTCAAAAGAAAAGAGGCGAAAGGGGGAGGGTCAAGAAGAGAAGAAAAAAAATTGTTGAATAATCGCGGGCGGAGCAGGAGGCAGATTGGAGGTTCGAATGGGCCGAGGGATGCAGACGTGGCCATAAAGTCTGGGAAGAGAAGCTGGGGAGCTGGAGATGAGATGATCCCGACCCGTCAAGCGCTTGACCCTTGTGATGGCATGCCCGTGGTCAGTTGCAGCACCCACCGACGCCATGCCGTTTTCAGTAACCAGACAGTGAAGCATGTGCTGCGAGCCTGCGAAAGACAGCTGCTGGTGCCGGGGATGGCTGGGAGCGCTAGGGCCTCGGGTCCATGTCATGTGTGCCAATTGATCCCCTGTGGCCCCCGGACACCGGGCCGCTTTATTTTTCCGCCTCCGGACCACAACCTGGATGCTGACTACAACCCTCTGTGGGGCCTGCACTCTGCACTTTGCCCAATTCAGCGTACAGTACGCGCCGCTCACTCACACCCTCGGGTCTCAAGCCAAGCATCGTTGAGCTTGAGTTGACACAACTTGAAGCTCACTCCGCGAACCTTGAATCCATTGGCAACGGTCTTTTTTTAAAAGGAGTATACACATTACAACCAACTCAGCATGTTGATCGAGGAATCTCACGTCGACGTGCCCACGTCTGCCAATGGCAAGGACAGCACCATGCGTACGTTACCCTCACCAAAAAGCTTCCGGTCCCTCCGCCAGACATTTGCTCACCACCTATACCAGGCATTTTTGTATTTCACCCGGTCATTGCCGGTTATCCAAAGGCGTAAGATCTCTTTAGTAGGCCTGTAGGCCTTATCAAGTGAACGCCCAGTCGCTCACCGTACTCAGTCGGTTCCCAGGTGTCTGCCTCTTTAGCGAAATTTACCAAGGTACTCACATACTCGGCACCACTCGGATGCCCCAAGATCTAACCCGTATATGGCAGTTACTGGACCAGTCGCTCGGTTTGCTCGCCAGATAGCTGGGCAGGGATACATTGTTGCGGCACCATCCTCTTACCATGACTTTGTTGGGCCGGAGCCTCTCAAGTACGACGTGGAAGACACGGACCGAGGCAACAAGTTCAAGATTGAAAAGGCAAGCTCTGTGATGCTCCCTTTTTGCCACTATAAACTTGCGCCATCTAACTGATGGCTCAGACTCTCGAGTCCTACGATGCCGACTCCCACGCAACAGTCGACTACCTCCTCTCACTTCCAACATGCACCGGCCTCATCGGCTCAACCGGCATGTGTCTAGGCGGCCATCTCGCCGTCCGAGCTGCCGTATGTGTACCAAAAATCTTTGCTTTTTGGCGTTGCGTCTTGTCTAACACCTCCTAGCTTGACCCCCGGATAAATGCCTGCGTCTCCTACTTTGCCACCGACATCCATAGCCGTACCCTGGGCCCCTACACGGCTGCAAACTCATCCCCCTCTGCCCCCGCCAACTCTAACCACACAATAGACCACTTATCCAGGCTGGGGGGAGAAGTAGCGATGATCTTTGGCATCAAAGACACCCACGTCCCTGACCAAGGTCGAGACTTGATTCGCAGCAAACTCCGTGATGCAGGCTGCGTTTTTAGCTTTCACGAATTCGCCTGGGCCCAACATGCCTTTATACGGGACGAGTTGAGCAAGGGAAGATACGACCCGGCTGTTACCAAGATTTGTTTCGAGATTTTGCTGGAATTGTTTGGAAGGGTGTTGAAGACTGATCTAGGCCAGAAGGATGGGAATGTTGCGCCGCCAGAGCATGTTTGCTAAACGCCCTTGCCCGGAAATTAAATTGTCAAAATTTGACATGTTTCCTTTTTGAATATTCCCACCACGTTCAACTGTCTTGCAGATTGTTCTTCGCCGTAACTCCTCCATCATAATGGATGGGACCGCAACAGCCGTGGTTGAGCTTCCATCTTTGCATTTATTGGTCCACTCTGCAAATTCTCCCTGCTTGCTATATTGCATCCTGGTCTCTGGATTGACAAACCGATTCCAGTTCTCTGGATTCTGCTCATAACTGGGACTCGGACGAGAGCTCTCCTTAGCCGGGGTCCGCCCAGCCTGGCGGTAGCACACTGGCGACCATTGTTTATTTGTGTTTTCAAGAATGTCTCTTGTTGGACATTTGCTGTACAAAGGCAACTTCTTGCATGACGTCTCCAGCTTCCTTCGAGACTCATCATAGTCGAGTATGTCGAGGCTAGAAAGGAGCTCATCGCCTAGCCAGTAATCATCAGCATTCCCGTCATCTCGTCCTTGCTTCTGCACCAAAACGACCGAAGAGGATCGTAGCGATACCAACGTAACCTCCCGAGCAACTTATTACCTATTTAGGCAGGTCTCTCGTGGCGAAAAGTCAAAAACGCCTCTAGTTGGCAAGGAGGTAGTTAACTATTGAAAAGTGAACCTAAGCCACCATGTTGAATCACGGGAACACCAAGTCTAGATGGCGTTACTGGCGGACAAGCAGGAGTGAGTGTGACTTGTACTTTTATGGTTTCTTGGCAGCATTATGCGTGCTATCAGCCCCTGACTTGGTGTCGTGAGCCAGTGAATTATCAGTAATTTGCGCCTTCTTACATGGGTGAATGTTACCGTGATTGTTGTACAGCTGCGTACATCGTTTTCTCAGTATCGGCACGGACACATGCTAAAGGCGGCATCGTCATATGGACTGATATTTGTTCAACTACCTTTGCATTTGCATAAAGGTACAGGGAAAACCGCTCCGAGTATCAGGACAAAAACCTGTACCAAGGCAAACCTACTTCTCACAATCCCCAAGTCTCCAACAACATACTTCACTGGAAGATAAACAGCAGTTGTTCTCATTCTCCAAAGCTGTACTTATTTTCCCTCACAAAAAATAGATCGGGACTGATTTACATCATCCGGCACTGGACCTACGTTTCCGTCGTAGGTCGCTACCTCGCTCTCGACAAGGCAACCATTCTCCCTGCTTGGCATTAGCCTCGAGAGAAACAGAAACGTCTGCCGGATAGGTAACGGAAGGAATATGCTTACAGAAAGAAAATGCAGCGCGAGCTGCGGGGGCCAAGCTCAAACGACTGTATTTGCCCGCGGCTATAAATTGAGTTAGTACAGCACGATGAGCTGTTTCATGTTCGAGTGTTTGGGTTTTTGACTCACATGGGAGGCGGGATGTCCACACATTGATCAACTCGGCCAACCATAAACGATTGGCCTTGTTCATTCCAGAGCACGGCCTATATTATCATCGAAGAATGTGAATAAGGAATCTTGTTGACAAAGGTCAATAAACTGCCTTACCGCAACATCCCAATCTTGACCAGCAACCAGAGCGGCAAATGCAACAGCCAACAGGCTCAAGGGATACATTGTGCTTCTCTTGACTGTTTGAAGGCGATTGAATGTCTTTGAAGCTGACTGACTGAAAATGAGGTGCTGGCTTGATGGTTGTAGGGGCGCAACTTGAAGGGGGACGGAGCGGACATTTTATATTCTGTTCAGTTTGCCAAACTTGACCAACACTTGAGGGAATTTTGTGATCAATAAGTTGTCCTGTCGAACAGTCTGAACCAAGACAAAGAGTGTGCATATGTAAGCTTCAGTAGTCGATAAGCATTGGAAATGGAAGTGATCAGCCTTCAGCCCGCTCAGGTACAGATGGGCCAGCTAATCAGACTTCTGAGCTTGTCATCATTTGTCCAATGCAGAATATTCGCGAGCCATTCAACGAAGCATAGCCGGATATGATGGTTATTTTGTCTTGAACGGCGTCCAACAGACGTGGCTGAATCGGAGGGATACTGGCCCATGTTGACGGTTTATTGACGACGGCTGTATCCAAGAGAATAGTCTCGTGGCTGGCTGAATTGGCCACAGAGCTTAGTAATATAGCATTAGAGATCCCTGCGTTCTAGTTTATGCTGCCAATCTTGCGAAATGACTCTGGCACATGTTTTAGTTGTAGGACCTAGCGGTGCAAGCCAGACATGACTGCCAATGTGACAACTATGGCATAATGGTCCAGTATTTTATACAAATACTAGGCTTAGAAAATGCAAAGGGCTTAATTTGGACTGTAAATCTTCTCGTGGCTGGCTTAAGTGTGCTGCGCAATACTGCAGCGTGGCATTGGTGATACATACGGAGTAGTTTAGCGCTGATCGATGTCTCGGCTGTCGTTTAAAACCCTCGTGCGCTGTTGAGACATCACTTCCCGCTGCGACTCAGAGTGACGTTCTCTGCCTCTGCTGTACCTGAATCGGTCAATTTCCCTCCGAAATAGGACACTCAACGACCGACATGTGACACGTCCCAAGTACATGGCCCAATCTAGCATCCCTGAGCCGTCTTGACCAGCGTAAGCAGAAGAAAGAGAATTGCACAATACGGAGAAGCAATCCTGAATCCGCAGAATTGCCACGTAGTTGTGGCTGTGCTTAAGACATATGCAATGGTTTGTCACAACGCCACTAATTTAAGGATCCAGAGATGTGCAGGATCACTCCGTAACGGCAATGTAATAGCGTTCCGTCCGATTGCAGTCGTTCCTTTAGGAGACTCATTTACTCCGTACTGAGATTTTGTCACAAATTCACTCTTGTTATTTTCCATGGGCCTCAACCGCTCTCCCCAATAGTGACTAGATCAGGAATGACCGGAATAGTGCGTTTCATCCAACCAACAACTTGCAAACTGCCCCTTGCAGTGCTTGCGCTTCGTATCCTCTTCAGCTTGTATCCGGATATCTCCTATCCAACTCCCTAGTGGCCCAATTGGGAATATTCTCCATGCGCAGGTTGACCTGGGCCTCAGTTCGTTCGGACTGTACCATATCCCCGTCAATAGATGCCATCATCTCTTCCTTGGTCCGTTTTCTTCTCGTGCCCTGCGGCAAAACGTAACGTTTACTCATTTGTATGTAATGTTGGCACCAATTCAACGTGACTGACGCCCAAGATGCCTGCGGTGCCCTGCTGCCTTGGAACAAGGGGTCAGCCAGCGAATTGGTTAATTTTACATGGAGTATTGTAGTATTATGTCCTGATGATTGGAACGCCATTTCTAGCGAGAAAACAGGGCTTCTGTGTGACTCTCGTTTAATTGTGTACAATTTTCAAAATTGCACCTCCGTACCGTGTACTCTGGCTGGCTGTTCGAATTCTGTTGCGACCAGGTCTCGTCTCCTGTCTGGCTTCGCGGACGTAGACGATTCCCAATGCAACGGTCGAGTCAGCTGATTGGTGTTTTTCCATGAATGGATCGCATTTAATGGCTGCATGTAACATTTACATGACAGCTAAAAACGGTGTACTGCACTGAGACCTAGGTCTCGTTTCTCACAGTCCAACTCCATCACCAGAGGCGGGCACATATGAAGATTGATTTAGCAATGACACAAAGGAAACCCCGTACTATGACACCCAAACATCGGTAATAAAGATAATTTGGTCTGACAGTACCTTGGACACACATTGCGCTGCGCTTTTACGACGCTTGCCTCCGCTGCCTGCACCTGAAGTTTCTATGCCTCTTCCCACCGGCCCTGATCCTGATACGTCTGTTAGAAATATACTTGGAGGGGTGAAGAAAAACATGGAATACTAGAGAGTCAACTAGCCATGCACCCAAAAGATTTACAAGTACAAGTAGCTGCTTGTACTGCACATAGTACATGGGTCTGCCCGGCCGCGTCACCAGCCTGCGTCCGGCAGAGCGCCTTGTCTTTATAAAGAAGCGTAGTTCATAATATTATACAGCACGATTATTTAAGATAATGTAGATGAAACGAGAGACTCTAATTTTTCATTGAAAAGAGTGTATAGTTCCTTTTTATATAATAAAACGGACCGTGGTTTGCAGCTAGGCCTTGGCACCCGAAACAGGCTTTCTTCTGGTGTAAAACTTGGCAGCTCGCACCCTCTTGATATCCTTTTCGACACCATTACAATCTCGCAGCCGCACTTGAAGCGTCCTCATTCTTCCATATCAACATCATTCTTAGGCCCGTTAGCCTCGGGGTCGATGCTGTTCTCAAGGGACAACGCATGGGGCCGATATTCCCTCAGCTTTTTCTGCGTCCACGGCCCCGTCATGCCAATAGTATCGACGATGCCCGTCGTTTGGCCCCCGCCAAGCAGCACGCCAGGGATGCCGCGCAGTGGCAAGTCCATGTAAGCCGGCTGCGTCAGGTCAAAGGGCTCGCCGCGTTTAAAGAGGTCTCTGACGGTCCTCACAGAAGGCAGGGGCGAGAACTCAATGTCCAGGATCTTGCGGTTGATGTTGTCGATTTCGGAACCGACGCCGGCATCGCCGAGGATATAGCTCCCGCCTGTGCCCCAGTGCTCCTTCTCGAGGTCTTCAACATGATCGGTGACCAAGGGTATGCGGCTCGCAGGAATCTGCCACGGCACGACTGGCACCTTTAGGTCGAGGCTGAGGGCCGCGCAAAAGTCAAAGAAGCGGCGCCACTCGTAAGGGCCGTAGCAATACTCCTTGCCATAGCCGCGCTCGGTGAAGTCGTCAGCTTCATAGCGATCAACGGCCAGGAAGTCGGGCCGGTAATGAGCATTAAATACGTTAAGGCTGTTAACGTAATCGGCCGTCTGCTTCGCGGGCACGGCCGGGCTCTGCTCCCCGTAGGTCCATGCTGGGCCCTTGCCGCCGCCCCAGAGGTTGACCTGCCACCCAAACGTCACCTCTGGTGCCACGGTACGTATTAGCCAGTTAACGGCAAGCACGTAGCCGCCGAGGCTGTCGTCGATGGTTTCGGGAATATCATCTAATAGCCGTCGGTACTTGAGCGCCTTTTTGAGCGGCTCCTTGACCGGCATAACGTGTCCCGCACACAGGTTGTGCGCCTGGCACTCACTGAGAAAGTCTGGGTTAATGATATAGCCTGCAGGCACGGGGGGCTTCCCATGCTGCTTGGCGAGCTGTAGCGACAGGATCAAGTTGCTTAAGCTATGCTCGTAAGCGGACTCGTCTTAAAGTTTGTCTATGATGTTACCGAGAGAAAGGTTACATGTATACGAGATCATAATAGGTAGCACGGGCTCCCCTAGATTTTCCTGCCCCTTTAAGCGACCTTGATGGTTATCGTGGTGGCCGGATCATCTGGTAGATGCGTATCGGGGTCGCCGCCGCCGTCAATACCTGCGTATTTGAAGAGCGACGCGGCGCGGGCGTTTATAAAGTCCTGCCCGGTGCGGTTGATAAGGTTGGTGATTCCGCCAAAGCTTAGGAAGCCCGGGAAGCCGCGGACCTTGAGGTTGGCCCCGGCTAGTAAGCTCAGGCTTAGCTTCGAGGTGCCGTCCGGTTTGACCTCGAGCGTCGGATCCGTAAAGACGGCGTAGACGACCCACTTGTCAACGAAGCCGACGGCCCGGACCGTGTACTCGCCCGGCGTCACGAGCGGAAACGAGGTGCTTCCGGGCTTGGTCCTGACGGAGCCTTTGTACACGGTATTCTCGGCATGCGCCGTCGTCTTCAAGAGGTGCACTGCCATGGCCCGGTCCAGCCCGGAACCTCCCTTCACCTCAACATTCAGGTGCACGAATGGCCCTGGGACTTGCTCTTCTTTAATGTCGGCCTTGGCAATAGACACGTCCACAAAATCATCTTGGGGAACCACCTCCTTCTTAGTGGCTATGTACCTGACATTGTTTACCGCAACTTAGATGCTAATGTCGACCTTGGCTGACCATGGCAACCGACGTAGCTTAGCCGTGTGGCCGCTGGTGCTGAACGTGTCGCCGAGCGTCTTGTCCGTGCCAGACTTAGTCACCTTGATGTAAAATTCGTCCGTGGAGACGGCCTGGATGCGGTCCACCTTGACATCGACGGCGAGATAGTGCACGACCTGTCCGTACGTGACCGTGGTGGACACCGTCTCATCCTTCTGCACCACGAGCTGATTCGGCCAAGCGTTGACCTCGGCGACGACCGTCTCGAGCGGATTGACGAGCTTGTCTGGGACGACGCGGTACCCGATGGCTGGCACTTTGCAAAGCGTCGTCTTCCCCGGAGGCACACGGAGCACAATCGCCGAACTGTCCGTCTGCAGGCGCAGCACCTGTTGGACGTCGGTAAGATGACTCTCCGGGGCAGCCGCGCACTCGACGCTGATGGTGCCGCTCGGCAAGCGGTCTGCGTAGACCTCAAACGACTTTTTCCAGCGCTCCGGGTCCTCTGTGAGGTTGCCATTGATTTGCCAGCGGAATCTCTCGACGGCCTCGAAGGTATAGGGGCCGGCAAAGTTGAGTTTAGCCATGACGTAAATTGCCCCGGCTTCAATAGACTCTGTAAACAAATCTTGTCCCTGGTAACGACCCCATTCATGGAGATTCTCCGGGTTGACTTGGATTGCCGCGGTGACCTCGGGCGACTTGAAGACGACGCCGAGGAACCCCTGGATGGTCACCTTGTCATGGCCGTTCTGGCGAAGATTCTTGATTATCAGTGTTCCGAAGTATGGCGTCGAACCAGGATCTACCTCGACGTCGAAATCAATTTTTGCAGCTGCGGGCGCCATAATGGGAAGCCAAGGAGGAGTCCGTTTTCACTGAGTATGATGTAATATATGAGAAGATGCTGTGTTTTGGAATAACTCAAGCTTGGGAGTATTATTCAAGTAAGCTGTTTAGAAGACGAGTTGTGGTGAGACGATACGAGGGCCTTGTGGCTACTTTATACCTCTCGGGCTCTTTCGCTTGTTGACAGTAGACACTGGGACGGAGGGTTTGTCGCGAAAATATTGCCTCAACGCAAAACGACCAGTGCGGATAGATGTCGGCATCTGACCTTCTCGCCGAGTGTCTGGTAGCCCATCCAACTTCATGCCTGTCTTTGGCTCTCAGGGCCGCCACTCGTAGATCATACGACAGCAACCTTCATGGAAAGCAATCAAATCGGTGGCCCTTGGGTCGTTGCCGTATGCACAGCGCATGCATGGCTCAGTTTGCCATTTGCGCTTGTGGCGCAGCCCATATACCACACCGATATGCTATGCCGTTGTTGCAGATTTGCTCTCCTCAACTCAGACATGGGGGGGGGGCGAGAAGAGAAGAGAAGAGAAGAGGGGAAGAGAAGAGTCGGGGCGTACATTTCATGCATTGAAGAGCAGACGCAACGCACCACATGCATGTCTCTCTCGACATCAAGTTGACTTGAGGGTTGAGTCGGAGTCAATGACTGCGCCCAGCTCCGTTGGTATTTGCATCAACTTCAACGGACAAAACTCTTGTCAAATGAGGCCGGAGTGACCAGATGATGGCGAGGATGTAGTCGTGCCATTCGCCGTGACAAAGAACGTGAGACCAGACCAAGACAACATATTTCACTGGCTGCCCGAGCAGCCGATTCTTCCCCCCAGGAAAGCCATGTCCATATTCTTCCCGCCCTAGATAGTCAAAGCCTCCATAATTCCATTCGTCGTTGGTAGTCACATGGACTGTCAAGCTGCAGAGTAGTATTAGAGTCGGCCAACGGCTGCGCGATATCCTCCAGAACCTCCGCCGTAGGCTGCCACCACGCTGCTAGAGACTCACGGGGGGAATACACATGCAAACTAAGCTCTCGGGAAATGTTGGGCACTCATGGGTCAGGACCCGGGTAGGAACAGTAGGTTCCAGACCAGTCGACTTGGGAGCCCAACATGGCTGACGAAGTGTTGACTATTTTTTTCATATAACAGAATCCTACGCGCGCCTTCACCGCCAGCTCTTGGTCGTCAACATGCCATGCCTCCTGTGGGTTGCAGTCATTTCGTGCGTGTGTTGCATGATATGCTGTGTCCCGTCGGCAAGTCACAATGCTTAATAGAGATGAGAAATAGGCCAGGGGCATTGCGGCTATTCAGCGAGAACAACATCGTAGGAGCGGCTACACTATATAGTACTGTTTTTGAGTCTATAGTTCAGTTTTAATATAAAAATTTATTCTTTTTAGTATAACCACTACATGTATGCAGAGCTAGGTGGACATTACATCCTGCGCCATGCTCAAGACAACACATGCATTGACGGCATCTGTTCCAGCCCAGCCATCTGATTTATAGCGCTGTAGCTATAAATACGGACAACGCAGATGGATGAAATTGGAAATGTAAACAGCAAAGACGGAGAAACAGTTTGCTAGACAATCCAGGCATATCGCGCCATTTGTGAAACATTGGTCATCTACTTGGAAAATTCTAGGACCTGCATTACAGTGTCTTAGGTCCCTTGGCTAAACCAAATCCAGCATTCAAGGCAACAGCAATCGTTATAGAGTACTACTGTAAGACCACGGAAACGAAAGAACAGACAACCCCTTCCTGGCCGACATGCGGCAAAACCCCTCCTGTGTACAAAATGGGTTTTGGCGACATGGCTTCAGAGACTTGTGTTCAAAGCTCCAAGAGATGAGACCCGTCATACCACTTGATTGGTCCTTGCAACCCATCATTCGTCTGCATGGACAAGCGGGGTCTCGGGTGTTAATAAAGATGCGAAGGCTAGTTGACATTTCACTTCGACTTGCTATTGTAGCCCCTGGGGGCAGACTCAGAACTATACTGCAAAGCTGTATCATACAAATACACAGGGGACCCATGCATGCTAGATTCAATTCCGGCGATATCTAGGCCATGGAACGCAGATGGAACCCACATAATTTGGGGTATATGACCCCAGCCCCAAAGCATTGAAGTATCTGGAGCAATCAACTACTAGACCATCACAGCAATATGTTTGAGCTACCAAAAAGCTACAACAGTCAAGCGAGTATATCAACAACTAGCTAGGATAACTAAACACGAGCATCGAAACCCAAAAAAGGAGAAATCGAACAAGAAACAGAGACCTCGACGCGGCTAATCTCTCGGCGAGAGCGCAAGCCAGCCACCTCGGGCTCAGCCCGTTATAACTGACAACCGACTAGATGATTCCCACGAATATCCAAAGCTAAAGAAAAAGGAGAAGAAAGAAGCAGAAAAGAAGAGCTCCTGAGGTCCCCGCTACTAATCTTGCTTATTGGTGCCCCGGGACAGCAGGCGAGAGTGCAAACCGAATCACCATCGGGCTCAGCCCGTTATTCGGGCCACCTCACCGACATGTTGACAGTTCCTGTGCTTCACCTCCCTCCAATATAGCCTGGGTGCTTGGAGAATAACTGCTCTATTGCAGGACCGCCTACCCATTTCAAGGGGTGGGTGGTGCATCAATCTGCGTCTCATCCACGATGCCATCTCCAAGATATTCAATAGTTCTCAAGTTCTCGTGAATAATAGCATATCGGAATGTATCACCAGGGCCAAACGGTGCATGACCGTCGGGCTGCGGGTTCGTCCTGTAGTTTGCAAACTGCTGTCCCATCAGGCTGCCGGCTCTGCGATTATCCCCAGCTTCGATGTAGGTGACGACGGCGCCTGTTCCGCCTTCCCGCGCAATGGCAGGCGGATACTCATCGCGGTCCAGCTGTCCGGTTCCAGCACCGCCCGTGAGCTCCGCGGTCGTCAGTTGGAGAAGTTCCCTCTGCGACGGATGTGCACCGGTAGACTGTCTTCGTCGAGCAGCCGCACCCGCCGGATCATAGGTGAGTTGCCAAGGATGCCCGGCCTCGTTGACCGCGTAGCGAGCATTCTCCACGGCAGCCGGCGTGTCTTCCTCGTACAAGTAGACGAGCCAGTTTCCATGCTCGTCACGCCGGGGTACATCCGCAGGCAGGACAGGCGGCCCGTGTGCAGGCCGTGGAGTAGGGGGGTCGGTAGGCCGTCGGTGACGGAGGTGGTATCCTTGTTGTGGAACATTGGGAAGAGGTGGTGTTGCTATCAGGAAGTTTGCAATAACGGCAAGGAGTGCCAGCCTGGCTGGGCCATTGGCATCGCCGCAGAGCCGGTTGTCGTTTGGATTGTGGGTGAGTATGCCTCCTGCGCCCATTGTTCCAATGACGTAGCTATGGCTTTGGCTCACCATGTGAGGCTGGGCGCTTCTGAACTCTGAACCCTTTTCTTGCCGTATATTCGTCACCTGGGACAATGTTATGCCACCGTCGGGATTCATCCCTCGCACGGTTGCGCCAACCCAAAGCATTCGCACCGGAATCCAGTAGCCAAGGCGCACCTTGTCTTGGCCAACCTCGATCGTCGTAGGATTCAGGTACACCAGCGTGTCTGGGTGGGCACTCCAGGATAGTTGAGTCTCGCCATCCGAGGAGAAGGAAACGACGGTGACTTCATTAGAAGTCCCATATTCGACGCCGGTGGCAGTTTTTGGCTTCAATTGTTTCTCACCAATGTCGTAACTCATGACCTGGCCCACCTTTGAATTAATCCATTCCTCTAGCTCTTCTAGAGGAAGTTGCGCACGGCCATTACTGTTTGACATGATGATTGGGGTATCGAGAAGCCAGCCTGTCATGCATGCTCGACCTCCAACCGGCTTAGAAGGACCATTCAACTGCGCAATGTTCCCAGGAGCCCGCCAGTATTCATCACCACCGTCGTCGTGATTTGGTGTGATGACATAACTCGTAGAATCGTTATCTGGATTCGGATCCGTGGCTTGAGACGAGATCTTGGCAGTGGCGGTATGGTCCTTGTATGTAGTTTCATGGCTCATTGGGAAAGTGATGTTGACTCGATACAACACTGTGGGTGGAATATCTGGAAGATCACAAACAACATTGCTTTCGTCAATGTGGCAATTGGCGCCGTCAAGAGGCTGCCAGACGTGGTGTTCAAGATCCCACGTAGGATCGACTCCATCAGGTACCCAAACCTGTTCAGTGCTAGACGACATTTTGTCCTTGTCCATTGACGAGGCGTAGCCCGCGGTTAAAACAGGCTTAGTGGCAATAGTTGGTCCATCGTTAAAGACGAGAAATGTCAAGACCTCGTTCTGTCCGTACGGCAAATCATTATTGTAGCGTTCTCTGGCGGAAGCAATGCGCAGATCTGCCTGTGAGAGTGGCTCGGCTTTGAGCGCGTTAAAGTCGAGATTGGCCAGGTTACCGGGGGTACTCCAATAATCTTGACCATCATCGTGATGATTAGGAGTAATGATATATGTAGCTTCGTTATTCTCTTTACGTGGATCGGTTGTCGACGACGAAACTGATGCCTTCGTTGTGTGGTCGGCATAGGATATTTCATGTGTCATGGGAAACGATATGTTGAGTTCCATGAGTACCCCTGCTAGAACGTCTGGAAGGGTAATCACCATGTCCTGCTCGTCAACCCTACTGGATGGATTGGGCAAACCGGTCCAAGCAAGGGAGCCATGTTTTATGCCTTCAGATGGTTGACGCCACTCGTTCACTTGACGCAAAGTAGTTGTGGCTTTGTCCTGGTCCATGGAGCCTCCGTAGCCAGCCCTGATCTCGGGGGCTACTGCTCGATTGGGACCGGCATTGTAAATGTACAGATTGATTACTTCGGACTCTCCATGCGGTTTGTTATTATCGTAATAGGCTCTTTTGGAGGCGATACGCAGATCGGCCTGGTCACCACCCGCCCTTCTCAGCACAGTTTTCGCATCCTCGGGTAGCGATGGTCTTGAATCTGTTTCGTCCACTTTGGAGGAATACCAGAAGGGCTCAGTGGGTTTTGAAGGAATAGCCGCCGCTAAGCGGGTGATGATAAGAAGAGCGATTGTGACCTTCATTGTGCCGGTAGTGACAGGTCGAGAGATGAGGAGAAAAGATGTTGAAATGCGTGTGATGGTGACTGGTGAGCACTCTCTGAAGGCAGCGGGCGTATAACATTTTATACATTTACCCAACAAGCAACAAGCTGCAGTGTCGGCATTTGCAGTAGCAGGCGTATTTCCATCACCGACGGCCACGTCATCTCTAGAAAACAATGGCTGTTGATTTCTCATCTCGATCGACGACGGCCGCATAAACGCAATTTAACAATGCTTCAAGGTTTTTCTTATGTTATCCGGTCATGGCCACCAAGGGTCTGAGTCAAATCCTGTATTTGCAGACGCGGCCCTGCCCGGCACTTCTAGCAGAGCATAGCTGTGGCGGCCGGGAACTGGTAGATGTGTCCAGTCAATACTATATGTACATGCGAGTTGATTCCACCAGTGGTACTTGTAGCGTGCCGGCACTGCTACAGGTTCCCATCCGTACATATGTAACTACAAACATAAGCGCTGGCCAACCACCTGAGTAAGTTCAGGTGGCTATAGATTAAAGATAGAAGACCTCAACTAGTCAAGTTGGAAGAAAAGACAAGAATATATCACAATATTTTATCTACACACTAGATCTGCCCCCCGGACAGGTTGGTCGAAATCCTACATATAGACAAGCGTCTTGTTGTCTACACAGCAATATCATGGTAGCACCAGGGCACTGTCTAGTCGATCAACAGCCGAGTTGTAACGTCTGGTGCTAGGCTGCCAAGGCAGGCTGGGACCCGTGCAACGATACAATTCAATGTTAGCGACAGAAAACTGCATGTGGCACCTGGGGTCGATCCATGTCGGTAGGCGCCCCGGCATTCCTCACACGCCCACGGCTTACCATTTGCTCGAAACTATTGACAGTCTAGTGTCTTGGCTACATAGATAGTCATACGTTCGAAACAACAGGGCGATTAATATCAGTACTAAGTAGCCTCCACTTTAATTATGCATAGACGAGTCTGGTCGGGAGTAATGAGACATGCCACGTTCCCTAGGTCTGCTATTTTGACAGTCTGGTCGGGAATAATGCGACATGCCACGTTCCCTAGGTCTGCTATTTTGACAGTCTGGTCGGGAATAATGCGACATGCCACGTTCCCTAGGTCTGCTATGTTGACAATCGCCAGGGTTCCGATACGCGGAGGACTCTGTCGGGCAGTCCTGCAAGGCTTCATGGTGAATCAATATGTAACATTGTGCAATACATTGCGTAAGAATCTCATCTTTGGCTAGCTACGTAATTGTTGTTAGTCTTTACAAGAATGCATAAAGATCTTTTACTTGGATAGAAGATGCTAGTACTAAAATTATTTAAATGCTAGAGAATAAAAAGGAAAGTATATAAGAAGAAAATACGCTACTAGCCCTCTAGAGAACGCCATCAATTACAAAAATTACACAAGACCTTGCAGGAGTTGCAACACACCATGAGCGGCCTCTAGCTACACCCCCCTTGTGAATGACAGCGTCGTAAAAGGCTATTTAATATGGGTGCCCGCATAAGATAGAAAAAGGCTTGTGTGTCACAGCCAGGTTTCAACTTATACAAGGCATTTGGCTGGGCAGACGCGCCTCGATGTTGCAATTCAGCTGTACATGGTGTGATAAAGCCTCGTTTGGTGCCTGTCACAACGCGGTGCCGGCGGCGGGATTCACTACCCGGACATCGGAGCTGCTGTGCCGTCCCGATGTCTGGTGGGGCGGAGCTGTCGACACGGATATTTTAGCGTGCCCACGTGTAATGCATATACTCAACTGGTATTTAAGTGCTGTGGGGGCCTGGGCCGGTGGGGGCCTGGGGTATGTACATACAGGCTGGGTGGTATTTTCGGATGCCACATGCAGATGTCACTACTCGGAGCTGTATCCAAGTGCCGCGGAGGCCGGGGCCGGAGGGGGCCTGGGGTATGTACAGGCTGATATGTACGTAATGCGGCCACATCCTCATTGCTAAATACCCTCCTACCTATTTTTGTACTACAACGCATGGGAAACATGATGCGGCTTTATTTACAGTCGGTGCATCTTTAAGGGCATTAAAATTACCCGCACGATTTATGCAATCCAGCTCGTCTTGTCAACACTCTCCATCTCAATCCCCATGGTGCGCCATCTCAAGGTGCCACAATGTCGGTTGAAGAAGGCTTTTCTTTGCGAGCCAAGTTTCATTCTTGTTCCTGTTGCTAGTAAATCCTGCCAGACTTCAGTGATAATGGCTCGGCAGTATCGTCATCAAGTCCTGCGCTTCCACAATCTATTATCCTGCCAACGCTATTCGACGGCTCTACAACTCCCCGCGGACGCGAAAATAAATCTATCAGACGTATTAACGAGCTTTTATCGTCGTCTGCTTATGCGGGTGATTATTTTCCTGCTTAGTCCCGCATGACCTCAGCACGGCGCACGCGGAAGACCAACTAGTATACTTGGAAATAAAGAGGAAATCCATGTATACTTGGGTCCGAGTTAGACTATCCGCCACCTCTAATAATGGTTGGTCGGAAACTCGAACAATTGTTCTTGTCTAGACTAGGACTGTAGGCCCTTGGCAGTCCTCTAATAGGTTAGTTATCCTTCACCGCTCGGGCTTCACGAAGCTGACACAAGATGTAGCGAGTGCTTGCGGGAGTTTACACCGACGCAAATCGCCGAGATGCGAACGTTTGCCATCGAGAAGCGCGGCTTTTAACGTGGGTCGTGAGAGTAATATTTTGTCAACGGATAAAAATTAACGTGCCATATAACGGTTATAAATACACTGATAAAAGTCCCGGTATCTGTCGTCTAAATTTCATGTCCCTCTTATGCGCCTGTACCCATCGTCTAAACATGATCACCCATCTTGTAATGTCGAGATTAAGATCATTTCGCTCCTCTGGCGATTATGTTCCTCACAAATCAGTATTTTGACCATTTCTCTGGTCGTGGGGCCTGGTTTGCGTTTGGCTGGCTGTAGTAGTTTGGCGGAGGACCCTGAGGCGCGTACTGCTGGTAGTTGGGCTGACTATAGCCCTGGTGCTGTTGAGGAGGAGGTGGGCCGTAGTTGAACTGGTCTTTTCCGCATTGCGAGCCGTTTGAATGTTTCTTGTCTTGTCGCTTCTTATTGAATTCCTTGGCTACGGCGATGGCAGCGCCAGACACGATAAGCGTCTTGATGAGACCCATTGTGTGAATGCGAGGGGGAAAAGCGAGGTATAGGCTTGATATTGTGGTGTATGAGATTTCTGCAAGTGGTGCTGGCAGTATAATCACGTTCAAGTGAGGGATGAGACTTCTATTTTATACGTGTGTCCCCAACGGCATCACCTACCGCATCTGGAATGCTGACGCTGCTAGGGCTGCGTGTAAGTCCGTCCACGACCAATCAGATTACAAGGAGGCTGCGGAGGCGGACGGAGCTGCCGAGAAGTGGGTCCTGAACGAGACCGAGAGCGGTTGCGAAGCAGCGGAGGTGGCGGCTCAGCCCCCAAGTTGCGTGTCTGGGCGGTGCCGCAAGAGCAAACAGGCAAATGCCAAACTTTGTGTGACGAAAGCATTGCCAAATAGAGGTACCAACTCGGGTCTCGGCACTTTGTGCGTGGCATAGAGAGCGGGTTGAAGTTTGGTCACGTTTTAAACTGCCAATACTCAAACTGCCCGAAACGGAGGTTTCGGGTGGGAGACCCTTTGTGTTTATTCACCATGACTTGTCACCTCGAAATATCATGCTGGATCCTTCCGGCCAGCTATGGCTTATTGACTGGGATTGTGCTGACTTTTACCCCGACTTCTTCGCATATGCCGGCATGCATAATTTCATTCCCGTAGGCTGGGACAAATTCTCTTTATTGCGATGGAGGGTATTCGCCTGGATTGCAGGGGGCTTCTGTCACAAGGAGGCCCGAGTTTTAGAAGTCATCAGGTCCAAAATCACGCGATTTCGCCCTGCCCGCCGATTTAACATGAACGAAAACGGCTACGCTGTCGCTTCCGGTTGACGGGACACTGAATCGTAATAGGGGGGGCTGCATGGACTTATTTTTGGGACTCGTCAAGTCGCGTTGCTGAATCGACTTGGCTAAAATATCGACGACTCGAAATGATTGTACGCCTCGGTGTTGAGTTGTGCCTCTGCAATCTGGTATAACTCTGAGTAAACACAACTTGCCATAATGCAGCAACGCTTGCCATTTTAACCCTGGCATTGTAAGCAAATTCATGGCAGAGGATTCATGTTTTAGTAGCGGAGATGGTGTTGACTTTGTGGGCGATGAGACCGCGGGAGTCCACTACATCCAAGAGTCACACTGGCTATGGTTGATTGGTTTAACTAGCTATGCAGTGCGAGTGACCAAGTTCATGCTGTCATGAACATTGATAATTCTAGGCCGCAGCGGTCAGCTGGGCTTGTTGCGGTGGTCTCGCCAATCGACTGCAGTCAGTCAAACCCGACCCATGATTTGCCGTGGTAACGCTTCCTCAGCTCGTCATATATCACTGTTTATTCTTTGATTACAAGCATTTGTGCAGATGAAGAGCTGAGGCTTCTTTGAGTAGTGGTTTGTGCAAGTATTTCCATGTATGATTAAATACAACGGGGTGCAAGACTCCACCGTACATGATGGGCCAATTTATCGGTATAGTGACTGATATGTAAAACCCAACAGCCTGTGACCTTGAAACCTAACAAGGAAATGTCGAGTGTGCGTACTTTGTACATGGCCCAAAAAAGAAAGTCCGCCGGCTATGTCAACATGGCGCGCCACACAAGCAACTCAGCACAATCTGATGCCATGACGCGCCTTTTTGAATCCAATAGCCATCAACCAAAAATCCGAACCGGTACGTCGGGAGTAGTGCTGTCATTGCCTTGGCCCAACGACTACGGCATCCATGGTTTGCAAATTACAACTTGCAGCACAACCCGTCTGCAGAGCCTCAAGATGTCGAGGTCCCACGGTACAGCTCTGTCAAATTGCATCTCTTTATACTCGGAGGAAAATAGATGAAAGAGGAATATCAAGGTTGGCGGACCTGATGCAGCGTGGCAGACACCTAGTTCCGTGCCGCCACTTTCACTACAATCTGACATGGCTTGCTACGGGCTGCGAAGCGCAAGCACTGCCACACCGTCGACGCCTCTCTGCTTCATGTCTGCCTTGTGCCCACCTGTCGCTGCTTCCATTGTCTAACAACCAATAGGTGTCCGGAGGCGCACGAGTCTTACCAGAATGACAGTTCAGTGCAGAGGCGCAAATCCTCAATGCTGTGATTGTTGCCACAGATACCCAGTGCAGGCCTCCGGGATGCATTTATACGGCGTATATCGGAACATACGTCCCGGGCGTTAAGATGGTAGCCTGAAGGCGTCCCGAAGGTGACTCTCAAAATGCCGTGACCGGGCCGGGGCTGGTGCGGAGTGGGCCTCCGGAGGGATCTGTGTCATCGCAACTCACTGCATTACTCCTTATTTTAAGCAAGCTAATTCATTCCGATCTTGCAAGAGGCACCGGCACGTGAAAGGGCCCTGCGAAATGAGTCTGCCTCAGTGGCGGTAAACTTTTAGTAGAAGCCTCCGAGTGCCACGCGCCACGCCTCCAGCGCCATAGATGGCGACCGTGGTGATGTTGGATGTGCCGTCGACGGTGTTTGTAGCGGACATGGTTATCGTTCAAACAAGGGCCGTTTTGTCAAGTAATTATGCGGTGGCTATATATTACTCGGCCCCAGTTACAGTTACTGACCTGGTTTGCCCAGTAAATATGACTTACCCACCGCCTTGCAGTAGCGACGCCATATTGCATTCTCGGCCGCAGAAGAATACCAGTGTGGTCAGCCGAATTACGTAGTTGGCAGCAGCCATGTAAACTGTCTGGTATGAGCTGGGCATATCTGAGACGGCAACCCCCGTCGCGGTTACTAGGCCCGTCGACCGTGGATGGCTGAAATGTCTTAAAATACTCGACAACTACCCAAGGCGCCAGACTTTCACACAAGCATGGGACGTCGAATGAAATTAGCGCTGTGCAGCGATGGCCTCACTTCGCAAGTTAGTTGCCAGGCTGGACTATCCCCTTTATGTCTGTTCGTCTGAACCGCTCGAACCCCAAGCCCAATGTGCGAGATGTGAGACATATATCGCAGCCAGAAGCCGTGTTATTTTAGAACCAAACATGTCGTTTGCACCCAAGACTGTCAAGTTGAGCACTCCCCTGGGCTGTGCATCTTGGTCCTCAACACTAAGCCCAATCACTTGACTGAGCAATACCAGACGTCGCATAATGTCGGCCTTTCGAATATGTGCCGTTGCCGCGGTTGCTGCTGGTGTCAGTGCAACCCTGGTTCCAACATCCCATGCTCCTGTCCAGAAGCAGCAAGTGACGCCCTTTGGAGGAGGCCCAGCTGTGACCACGGCCGCTGCTGCGTATTCCGGGCTCCTTCACCGCCGGGCTGATGACACTTGCGGATTCATTGACGGAACACGAGGTACGTGCCTCTTGTGTTCCATCGGCCTCCTCGTGTCCCGGGAGAAGCTGACTTGGCTTAGCGGCCTGGTGCAACAACCCCTATGAATGCTTTTACAATAATACCGCCTCAGCAGCCGGTTGTTGTACGGCCTCGACTTCTTGCTTCATCCCAACTACATGCCTGCCGTCCACCTCGCCCGCCCCCAATGACACTGGCCTCACGAAACATTGGTAAGGGACATCTGGAGCCTCCTACGCCCGCTATAGAACGAGTTGATCAGACCCGGACCTGGCACGGCGCATGAGGGCAGCATGCTAATCCCCTGAGACGATAGTTCCTACTCGGCGAGCCCATCGTGCCTGTCGCTCGTGTATAGCGACGGCCCCTGCTTGGGGTGTACATGGTTTATATGCGACTCGGCCGAAGGAAGAATGGCAATCCTGACCACGCGCACCAAAGGCATGTCCACGACGCCGCCGGCAACAACACCGCCGCCAAATCCAACCAGCCCGTCACCAAGCCCGACACCACCCCCGACACCGCCGACCCCCACCGGCGCAATCGTCGGAGGAGTCGTAGGAGGAATCGGTAAGTTGGCCATCGGACCGTCCCTGCCGCGCTGTCGTGCGCACAAGCTGACCACCTCCTTCAGCGGCTTGCGCCTTGCTCGGTAACCTGTTTTACTTTCTCAAACGCCGCCGGAAGCCCGAGGGTTCGGGCTCCGAGCAGGAACTCACCCCAGAAGCACAAGGCGGCAGCAACGACACGTCGCAGGATTTTGAATCCAGCAGGGCCAAGTCCGTCATGGCGAATCTCAGCACCGGCCCGAATTCGCCTTCGCCGCCGTCCCAGTACCAGCAAAGCTTTGCGAGAGCGAGTTGGTCGGCGTCGCCGGCGTCGGCACCGGTTTACCCTTCCAGCTATTTGAATACGCAGATTTTGCCTCAGCAGCCTTTTCAGGGGCTGCAAAACTGGTATCCGGCTGCTCCGCAGGAGATGGCGAGCACGCAGCCGGAACGGCCTGTGCGGGAGATGTCGGAGATGTCGGGGAGCCCTCGTACGTAGGACAGGGGTATTTTTCTGATTTGTACTGTTGTAGGGGTCAAAATTGTATACATGATGTGACGGATATGGCGAGTAAATAGCACATGAATATATCTATGAATTGATACGTATTCTAGCACAACACTAGCCGTGGCAAGGTTGCAGTGGTACAGTGTCACAAAGAAGGCGCTGCAGTTACACTGCAATCCGTTCCTCATGTTCCGACGACGTACCGCGCTGTTGTACCGGTCATCACCTCGGAGCCTCGCTGGATCTGACCACCCTCACAAAAAGCAAACCAGCGCTAGAGCAGCCATTCAAACAGCTACGCCTCCAACAGACTATATGAATGGAAGGGAAAGTATACGTCCGTAGCAGGATTCCAGGTCGACCATGATATCTAATCGAATTATACGCGGTATATGGGAAGCTTGGATGAAGCTCTCGGGCTGTACCAAAATTAGCCGGTTTAATAATCCTAGCAGGGGCAAAATATCAAAAGGGATAGTTGACGTCTCGACCCCGGTAGTAGCCAGGCACTGAGCCCATCCAATGAGAGCCATGGCGTTGCCCGAGTCGGACGCCTCCGGCAGTGGCACGTCCTATTCTTGTACACTGGTTGCTGAGGCAGGGTAGTCCAAATATAGAATGAGCCAAAAAGAGCCGAGACGCAGTGTGGCTGAACGACTGCCGGCATCAGCAGGGCTGTGGTGGTTGGTGGACAAAGGTTTGTCAAAGCCTGCCGTCGATGCTCAAACTCCACCGCTCAGCGGCGATGAAGTATCTGGCCCTCAAAGCGCCCCGATATCGCACTGGAGGAATCTATCAAATATTATCCAGAACAATAACCAGACTCCAAGCCCATCTGCCCCATCACGCCTACACTTGTCCAAAGACTCCACCAGCTACGGGCAGACAAAGCAAAGTGTGCGCCACCAAGGACAATGTCCCCATGTGCCAAGCCACTTACTGCGTGATGGTGTACAAACATGTGTGGTAGGCTGTTGTCACGAGGTGTGCGACGCGGCTGGCCTGGCTTGTTCCATGGGTTCAGGGGTCAGAGTCGACTGGCAATGAACACCCCGGCGGCGTTGCTGCTGGGTGCTGCCGCCTGATTTGTCGAGACATGGAGTAACGGTCTCAAGAAAAAGGCTGCCTCAATGCGTGAATACTGCTGTTCTTGATCGGCGAGGTAGAGACTACGCCTCTGCAAGTGGCCCAGCATACCTGACAGGCGATTGTGGTTGGCGGAAGGTACATGTTGAAATGGCTTGACCGATAATGTGAAAAAATGCATATTTGGACTAAGCCAGGATTCAGATTCATCTTGTCCATCTAGATCACGACAAGTTGCAGAACTTGTGCATGGAACGTGTGCACCAAACTGACACGTACTGGGAAAATCTCGTTAAAAGCGTGAATCAACACCAGGGTGAAACCGGATAATTCAAGCCAAAACTAATAGTTACATATTATTTCTCGTATCTCGTCTCTTTTATTCACATGCCGGGTAATTTCTTCATTTCCAATATAGTCCAACTATCAAGACTGCATCCAAGCAGTCCTTTGTCAAATATTCCTTTCCAAGCTCGGTAGACCCTCCGAGATAATACTTTCAATGCTCGAATCGCCGCAGGTCAGGTTGCCCGCTCATCATCTGCGGCTCCGGCGGAAGTATGCCTCCGTAATATACCTACATCCAGCTACAGCAGCTGGCCAAGCTTTCCGCTATACCAGCACCCAAGCTAATTATTTTCCCCCGTGCCGAGTTCTACAGGCTTTGAAATGCTTTCAAGCTCCTGCGACAAGTATCGATGATCTCCCGGTAATTCATACGACGCGTCGCTTTGGTCCGTGGGACTATTCGACGGTAGGATGACGCCCTTTCCCTCCAACTCTGGTATGCCGCAGTCATGGCCGCCGAGGCGTGCCGATACGGCTTTTTCGTTTGACTTTGCCCTTTTCCGTCTCCAATATACCAGTATATATATTGCCAGGCCAAATATTGTCAAGCCCAGGGGTATTGATACAGCAATGGCAGCCTCTATCCCAGGAGAAAGACTCGTCTTTCCGGTCCCGTCGTCCTTTGAACTCTCGCCAGTCGACGGCCCGGGTGTGGGTTGAATAATGAGCACCCTCGGCCCCCATGCAATTGCTCGAGTGTCCGAATTCGCTGTCCTTGTTACCAAGGCTGTCGACTGGAAACAGACGCCTCGCGCTCCGTTTACCGCTGTTACTTGTCCACCGAGTTTTACCGTTGACACGCAGCCATGAGGTTTGAATGTATCGCAGGCATATCCGCTGTAGAAAAACTCGTTTTGGGTAAGCATAGTTGCTGGGCGAGGGCAGAAAGTCAGAGGTTTCCCTTGAATTCTTACCTCGGGCAACAGCCAATTGCCGTCTCTCCGGCTTTAAGCATACTCTGAATTTTCCTTTCGGCCAGATTCGGACTCGAAGTCGCATTGGCGGCGTCGGAAGCTGTGCCCGCTGGCAGGGAGATTGTGCAGCTCGGTCCGTAGCCGTGCGGGCACATCAGCCCCGGCGAGTACACGGGATAAGGCGTCAGCATGTCTGAGAGTTCGAATTCGCAGGTAAATGCCGAGGCAAACGACTCGGGGAAACAGGTGGGCTTCGCCATGGGACCGAAGATGGCGCCGTTTACCCCGTTGACATTGCAGGTGAAGCCGTAGTTGTAGTAGTAGGTTCCTGGCTTTTCCGAGTTAAAGTACCGGTTTGTGAGAGACATGCAATCGTCTGGCGGCGTAAAGGTTGTTGTGAGAGCGCCGAGATTGGTTGTTGGTAGAGTCGATCGCGCTGCAAGAGCCGGCTTGGTGGTTATGGTCGCGTCGGCCGCCGTGTTTGTGGCCGCGCTGTCCATGTTGACAGTCTGCACAATGTTCCGCAGAGATTTTGGCCATGGCCTAGTTGCATCGAGGGTAGCGGGAACGAATTGGCAGTGTTGTGTTGGGGACCGCATGTCAAAGTAGTCCGTCACCCGGCGTGTGATTTCCACTTCGGCCCCTTTTACATGCATGCAGCAACGTTTCACACGTCCCACAAGTTTATATTATGGGTGAGTGATGACATGCTTTGTGTATACTGTCTTCAAGCGTAAATCTACTCGCTAAGATCCAACGCACTTGCGCAACACGGGACCATGTTAATAGGGGCCTCGCAGCGCTCCGGATATGGAGGAACGATGAAAAGACACCATTTATTCGAATGAGCATTGGGTCACATTTGCACGATTCACTTCAGCTAGTACCGGGGAACACATCAACCCACACAAAAGTAACTTGCCACGAACGGACGCTATGAATGCACAGCACCACTGGCCAAGGCCAGAATGCAAGGCATAACTTACTGGCATGGGGCTTTGTTGCTTTATCCCTGGCTTTTCATTTCATTTGCAGCCTCACCGAGTATTATTATTATTAGGTGAATCATTCGGTCGGGCCAAGCCACATCTTTGTGAGCCCTTGATTGGCTCGGCATGTCCATCAAGCTTCCCAGCCTTGCAAGTCAACTCCACATGTGCATATTGGTATCACTGAGGCTGAGTGGTGTGAATTGTCTCATTCTGATCCCTGGCTTTGGTGGGACATTTTCGGATAACACGAGTAAATAAAACGTACACTGGATACGGGGTACGGAGTAGAACGGGAATAAGCTTATTGATATGCCGGATATTCAGACCCATGCGGCGTCGGGTATATGTTCATGTGGTTGATAATAGGGAATACAACAACTACCGACCAGGTTTGGTGAATATTACCGATGAAGCATGAGTTGTACATCTTATAGGATGGACCATCAATTTATTGCCCACAATAACGCCTAGAAATCCACAAAGTCGTCTGTGAAATAACAGTTACCCAACACGGAGCCAAGGGCGATGTGGCTGGATGTCGAATCATTAGACGCGCCGTCAGCCATCCCGGGCCGGGCGGCGAAAGAAATAGTGTCCTAAGGGCGGCCCGGTAATATTGATGGAAGGTCAAGCAAAGACCACGTCGCACAAGGTGGCATGGATGTCGATGGGAATGTCAGATTTGTCAATGACATGTTTTGTCCAGGCCCTGCTGTACATGTCACCGTTGGTCACCTGCAACTCCTTCCAGTTATCCAGAAATTCGGGCCACAGTGTAGCAGACGAGTAAGCACATCCCTCAAATGTCTTTTGCTCCGCTTTGGTCTCTGCTCTGGACGGAGTGGTTGGATGCGATGCTGTGCTGGGTAGTGGCGGATTGCTCATGTTCCCGAGAAGAAACTCGGGTGGGCATCACCGCAAGATGCATATGGACATGCCCTTGTTGCAACACTCTACATTCTTGCCTTTACTGTTTATTATGGCCCGACACACGGACACCGGTACGCCGGCTTGGCATCGGGAAATGTGGGTCAGCTCCGGGACTGACCCCTTGGCCGAGGACTTTTGCTCCAAGCCCTCTATTACGCCACGAGCACATTAATTTAGGAGCTCTTCGTGGAACCACGGCTTTGTATACCCTGTAAAGCCTAGGACTACTTATCCTAATAGCATCCTTAGTGGCCAGTATTCGCCAGTAGTAGTTTTACCTGTATTGGCACAGGCATCCTGGTTGGGAGTCTAGGACCACCAAATATACTCAAAAGTATGTGTCTGCAAATAATCGTGTGGCCAACATCAGCAGGCGATGACGGAAGGTTTGGGTGAAACATTTTTCTTGTCATCTGCGATGTGGCATGTGACAAGGGCAAGGTAACTAGGCCTAGAACAGTAGTTCAAAGTCGATTTAAGAAGCAACTTTAAGGCAGCAAAAATTCTTGGTTTTCCTCAATATCCTGAGGGACCAGAGCTCTCTATTAATACAAGAATTCGGTGAGTGCTAGTGCCTGAAGCAGCCCTCGGTTAAGGTCCGACTCCGGGTTCTCGTGATACCTTTCTTGGCCGTGTGACGAGAAGCAAAAAATCAAAATTCAATACACCAGTGGCATCAAGTTCTCAAGCCTATGCTGCGACGCCTCACTGGTTGGTACTATTTTCCCTATATTTTCTTGCACCTGCCGCCCACGGTCTTGTTTCCTTTGGACTGTGATGGACAGGTTAGACGTGGCCCAAGAACAGCTGCGGAAGAAAGACGTACTGAGCCTACTTTCATGCAGCAGGCACGAGTTTGACCGAAACCGCAGGCAAGGCCGTCCCAGTTGTTGGGATTGAAGCAAACTGGGTTCAAGCTCTTGAAAGGTACATTGCCGATGTGGTCGCAGCACACTGGACTACATTTTGAAACCTGCGCACCGGACTCGAGATCAGCAAAGTGTTCGCGCCACCAGATATACGACGAATGGCCGACCTCTTCGATTGGCAGCACCGCCGCGGCGCACCCAAGGACACCCCAGGCAATGGCAGAGATGGAGAATAGACGGGGGAGCATTTTGACTAGGAATTGGAAAGAAAACTAAAAAGTCGTGGAGTATGTCTTGACAAGCGGATTTGATGTGGTGCGTCGTATTCTGAGCTTGACTGCCCTGGGAGAGGAAGAAAGTACGGAATTGAATGAGACGGAGGGACAGCTACTTATACCCTTTATTGTCGGGATACATTTGCCAAGTCAACACTCTTCGTCCGGATGCGGAACATGGACACGTACAACGTGGCACCTTGGTCGCGATACTCTTACTAAATGTCTCGGCGATCTCGCTGCAACACCACCCGACAATTATAACCGCTTACTACGTATATTTAGAAGCCTTGCACTTTTCTCTCCCCTCGAGGCATATGTAGTACGCGGCTGCATGTCTGTGGCTCAACGGACGCGACAGGCATGCAAAAATACCCAATTGGCGATATTCATCGGAGCCTGCGTCGATCTTTGCTTCATCGACTTTAGCCATAGAGAAATGATTTGTACTTCGTACTTGATGCGACTTTGATTATATTTCTGAGAGAACGGAAATTGTGATCTCGTTTACCTACCCCTGCTATTCCGTCCCCCTCTTGCTTGCACATTATTGGGTTCTCGGATTTGTTGCTGGATTTCAGCTTTTCTGGGCGCCTCTGACTCGTAAGCTGGGGAAACACAGCCTTTAACCCTGTCTTGTATTACAAATTTAAGATATTCAATTATGTCTAGAATATGGGATGACAACTTCAAAAAGCTACACGATTTGTCCATGAATTAGCCAAGGTATATCTCATTTCACACTACACAACAACTGGCGCACCATGCCAAGTCCAATAAGAGTACTAGTTGCAGGACCTGTAGGGCGGCAAAGGTTTTAGCTAGCCAGTCTCGCTTACTTTGATCCTCAGTATCCTCGAGCTTACATACGGGGATTGTAAAAATTACATCTTTTACCATCTGTAGAGCGGTAAATGGCAAGGCTTCATGCAGAAACTAATACTGAAGCCACAAATGATAACGATAATGCCGCACTTTTCCTTGCGGATAGATAGCGTAATTCCGCCATTATACAGCTGCTACAGAATGAATTTACATTCAACAAAAGACGTTGGAGCTGATTGGCAGCGGCCTAGAAACCCAATATGACTCCCAGATGAACGACCGTGAGGGGAGGAAGATGATGATTGGTGATTGCAGCGCCGAGATATCTGAGAATTGAATTGTGCAAGTCCCTACAGATAGAGCCGTGTGTAGCAGCGTTACGTGTCGCTGTGGTCACGTCTACAGTCGTTTATACCTGACCTTACATTGATGACACGGTAATTGAACGGGTATAACTGAGTGATAGCCCGCTGTCACGGTTTAACCACACAAAGTAAAGTGAAATTCCACAAGTGTCTGTTATAGCTAACCTTGTATACCTCTTGGTCGTGACGCCCTGCATTTCACCCGTTGACACCCGCATGCAACGCAATGCCGCCCGAATGACAGCCATGGAACATGTACATGTGACCATGATTCTTTATTTGATCTATCTAGTGAGCTATATCTAGGGTTTGGTACAGTGGTCTGCATCCCGATGATTCGGCCATCTCTGTATGAATGTCGAGCGCACCCCAACACAAGGACTAAAGCGGTCTCGGTAAATTCCAGTATTCAGGTCCAGCGTTGTGTCCTTGTAGTCCATGTTGGGTTATTCACACTGGACAAGTTAGCTACTGCGTATTGGTACATGTAGGGACATGGAGACTGCAAGGAGACGTACATCGAACTTCTTCGCAAAGGTTTTACCGTGGTTCGCGATGATATCGCGGCACATTTGTGCGGTAAAGCCCTTTTCGTTTACGGATTCCCTCAGTTCGTCGTTGAGGCCGGGAAGATTAGTGCCGCTAACTACGTCTTGGTTCTCCAGTGCATCGATGAGGGCGGGAAGACTAGCGGCGTTAAAGTCTTGGGGTCTCCCGGAAGTTGGCCGGTCCACATCCACTCGGCTGTGGTTCTCATCGTTGAGGCCGGGACGATCAGCGAGGTTAACGATTGAGTCTTGGGGTCTCCTGGAAGGGCCTTGGTTCAAGCCTGGCCCCAAGCCGTTGCCAGACTGCGGATCACGAACCTCGACCGGAGCTGCCGCCACCAGGACGATGGTGCTAGCGAGGGTAATCGACAACTTCATTTTGACTACAGTGTTTTGGTAATCGAAACGTTTAAAGGGTCAGGTGAATGGATTCTGATTGGAATGCTGGAAAAAATAATTGTTGACAGACAGATACACGGGCATCCCACTCAACGGGCACCTGCGGCGTCTATATATACCTGTCCCATCACTCCCAAATTATACGCGCTTTGCAAAAAGTTAATATATAAGTTTATGCTTGTTTCATGTTTAAAACCCTTGGCCGGCGTGTATTCTCATGCAATGATACAGGGCACCACGAGACTTGAGTCATTGCACGCACAGAGTGCTTGGGCGCCGACGCCGGTGCCGATACTTCTTGGCAGGCTGCCACCAGATTCAATCAAATACTCTATGCATATACCTTGGCAGAATGTCTGCTATGCGCGGCTGGGCGAGCACCCTGCGACAACTCTATATCGAGTCAGGCACGTTGCGGGCACGACGCGCCCAGCCCTCGATAGCATGAATCGCCGGCGAAACGGAGAGGCGCTATAATTTCCACGTATCTTTGGCCTACAGTGCTTGTTACTTAGATGAGCGGACTGTTTGTTTCGCCTGCAGCCAAGTCTAATCTCGACATGGGACGTATTCGACATGGTGTAGCGGCATTTTGTCTTTGTGGTTCGGCAGACAGACGCGGTGCGCTTAATGGTCGAGTCCAAGGTTGGAAAATGGTCAGACGAGTGTCGCGTCGCTGGGATGGCAGCGGCTGAGAAATCCGGCTATTTGTTTCATATAAACCGCGCCAATAGTAAATACAGCCCGCAACCATCGGGCGTGCGAGACGGCATTTGGGTACATATGTATGTAGCAATACATCAAGGACACGGCGCTGTTTTCTAGGCTCAAATTCTGTCACTCCAGTCTTATTTGATATTTCCTGTCTATTCTGACATGTTGGCTCACGAGTTTCTTTAAACATCTTCAGCCGGCTGTCTCCGGGGCCAGCTTTTACAGCTTCACAATAGTCATGTTTCGTTCCGATTTATTGGCATTAGAATACAGTTTGCATAGTATACATGATGCACCACCGATTATTCCAGTCATTTCAGAAATCACGAGAACCCTACCGTTGCGACATCAACTCCATCATCACGCGTAAACGCCTGTTTCGCCGTACTTGTCCGCCTCCAAAGTATCTCTCCAGAACCAACCCCTACGACCGCGGCACACGGGTACCCAGCTCATACGATTCCGTCTGCTGCGGCCCCCCATACCCGTAAGCAGCATGAATTCCCTGATGGGGCGACGCATTCGTCGGCGAGCTGTAGCTTGGAGGGGTGGCCGGCCGCGGACTCGCCTGGTACCCAGATGCTGGGGCCAATAGCTCTTGAGGAGGCTGGGCTGGTCTCAGATTCGGTCCGTACACGGCATCGCCCTGCAGCTCGGATTTCGACCAGTGCTGTGGACATGGAGGCAGTTCTGACGGGAGAGGCGTGGCATTCCCTTGCAGTTCCGGGCGCGGAGTATGCGATGGCGTGGACAACTCGGCAACACCATGATTCGGATACTTGGACGGGTCAGACTCTCCCGGGCGGGCATCTGTGTCGCCGCCAGGGAGCTGTTCTCCTCGCTGTTTGCGTTGGCTGCGGCGTTTAAAGAACCAGACCAGACCAGCGACGAGCACAATGACGACGACTGCTCCGAGGACCGAGGCTGCAATCACGGCCACCTTGTTCACCTTGTTCCCGTCATTGCCCGAACCGCTTTTGTCGCCGTTGTTTGCTCCTCCTCCAGCGCCGCCGGTTTCCAAAGGGACAGAGGAGCCGGCCTGTGTCCGCGATGGAACGCTGGCTGCCGACGACTCAGAGATGGACTCGGACACGGTGGCGACAACCTTGCTTTCAGCTGCGCTGCAGTAATAGTCCAAGACGTTGACAGCCGACGTGACATCGTCAATCGCCGTGCTCGAGCAATACCCCTTGACACTAGACGTCAACGTGCTCGATATCTTGCCGCGCATGCCCGACTTGATGCATATGCACGAGGCGAGAGCTTGTGGCCCCGAGCCGCACAGCCAGTCCGTTTGCTGTGTCCGGCGTCAGCAAATTTTGTTCCGTTTTCAGCAAAAAAAGGGGGATGAGAGACGTACGCCCTGCACCACATAAGACATGGCACTCTGGGCACAGGAGCGGAGGGATTTGAACTGCGGCAACGCAGTCACGTAGTATGTCACTGTACCAACCATGGTTAAAAAGGCCGCCGTGCCCAGGGATAAACACCGCCAGACTACATGTACTTACTGTCACCAGGCGGGCGCGGCGGGCCAGCAAACGAAGTCGTACCGCTGTTCATGGCACAGTAGTCGTTGAAGAAGCCCTGGGCCGCAGTCACGTCCTCGTCGTTTGAGCAAGACGACCGCACCGATCTGCTCATGGTCTCGCTGACCAGCTTGGCCCTGTCCGTGTTGCAGACGCAGGGCGCGTACAGGCTCGCATCCCGGGGGCACTTGGACAAGAACTGCAATTCTGCTTCATCAGCGCGCGGCCTCGTCGGCCCAGCACAAGACGTACCTCGCCTATGACGGCGTACGAGAGTCCCGACTGCGCGCACGACGGCAGGTAGGATATCTGGGGGATTTCGGTAATGGAGGCGTAGACCTTGTTCGCGGTGGGCGTGGCAAACGCGACGGCGCTCTCGGGATGGCAGTACTTGTCCATGATTCTGGACGCGCTCCATGCGTCGCTCGTTCCCGCGGCCGTGCCGCAGCCCGAGGATATGTCCGAGTTGATGCGCGAGGTGACGTGGTTGAACTCGCTGGTGTTGCGGCAGATGCACGACTGCAGAGCGGCCTGCCCGTCGCCGCACCTCGTCGACATTGTTTCCAGCGCGACATTGTACGAGATGGCGCTGGAGGCACACGGTGCCTTAAGTTTGTCGGCGGTTAGCTGAGTCTTGCGCGAAGACGGCGTTGGCTGCGTACCAGGTAGGTGAAGATTTCAATGTCCGTCACGTAGACAATGTCGACGGACGAAACGGCGACGGCCCCAAAGGCCGCCCAGGACAAGATGGTCCAGCTCCAAGAAGCCATGGCCGGCTCTCGAGGAATAGCCGCAGGATGCAAGATGAAAAACTCGAGACGTGAACTGCAAGATCCGCCGCTCCATGGACCATGATGCTCAACCCCGGGCCTCCTCGCTGCTCAGGTCTGCCTGCCTGCCAGAGCCAAGGGCAGCCCATGACCCGATTTGACATGTCGTGAATCTTTGGACGCATGCATCGTGCCTGGTCATTACCCCAAACCGCCGCCATGCGGTTCAGCTGCCCCGTTCTGGCGGTCGCTTCGTGACACCATTCGATGGCCAAGCTTGCTTGAGCATGCTAAAAGCGCCCAAAGACCATCGAGGACCTGCTTGCCCCTGGGAGCTGAACACACCGAGGTCCACATCAAGCTTCGTGAGGATTGGCTGTTGGCGTCGTCAGTCCGTGTGTGCATATGTGTGTTTCCGCAGGCCGTGCCGCGCGGAACCAGATTCCTTTACCTTGCCGCGGTAGTTTTCCGGGGTTCAAGTGTTAGCAGATTCCAAGTCACCAGATCGTGGCAGACACGATACATTCAATACAAGTGTCGTCTGGTGGCAAGGGAAGCTGGCGACGGGCTCGGCGCAACGACGGCCGCGATGACGGACACGGAACCTCCCATTGTTCTGGGCGGCATCATATAATTGGCGAGACAGTTGATCAAGCCGTCCAAGCCTATTACCAGCATCACCAAGGAATACACGGGTCTACCAACTCGTCTCATCTCTGCATCGATTGGTGAATGCAGCCGCTCACTGCCGGCGTCCAGTTACAGCGCCCGGCAATATCATGAGCCGATGGACAGGTGCATGTCCGGCGATTACTAACGGACCAACGTCTGAAGCAGAGAGTTGGGTCTCATCTACGTGCTTCTTGTTCTTGGCGTCTTGGCAGCATTTCTCCTGCAGTAGTTTCTCCCAAGCGCTACCAGGCGCCGCATAACTATTTCCTATTTCTGAATATAGTAAATATAAGCGCATTTCATCTGTTGTATTTCAAAGATGATTAAAACGTCAACTAGTATATTCAAAATACATTTGACCGTCTGTTGTATTCAAGGCCAGTTCTGGCTTGCCGTGTCTAAAATATATTTCCCAGTACAATACTATTTTATCTGAATACTACTAGCCTTTTCCGAATGCTAGAAATTCATAGAAATTCATACTAAAATTCTTATTGCACAAATAACCTTGGCCAAAAATGTACCGTCGCCAACGCAACATGCCAGTGAGCACCCTCCGCGACCGATGTTGCAATGGTGTCCTATCAAACAAGCACGCAATTCAAGGCGCATTTTTTCCGGCTGGCGAATAAAGTATATTTTATCCCGTTCCCGTTATCTGTACCTTGTACCTGCAATTACTGAAACAAGGGCTTATCACACCGTTACACGGCAGCCGAGATCACGAGACCTCGTGCCGTGCCTTAGGCTCTGACCGACTTCTTGTATAAATAGAGCTCTCTGGTCCGCCTGAGGCCTTGCGAAAACCCAGGACCTTGACTACCAAAGACTGTCACGGGATGAATTGACCTGTCACTCCAAGCCCCCATCGAACCCCCTTTCACCACGTGTAGACGACCCAGCTCGTAACTCGTGAAAGCAAAGTTTCAACTTGACGTGGACTATGGCCCGCTTTCCATAGACGGGCAGAAACATATTGACCGAAACGGACATGATCAACGGGCTAATCTTTCCGGCATAGAAGCTTCAAGGCGTGCGAACCTTGGTGGACGCCAGCGCAAGCCACGAGTTTGCTTCCGGAGGGGAACCGCCGGTCCTTGTTTGCTATTGCGTCCACCATCGAACCCAAGTAGCAGGTGAATAAGAAGGATTACAAAGGCCAAGATTTCCGAGTCTATAGATATTTATAGCCGTCTCGGGCACATCATTTACAGCAGACGACCAACTTTCCCCCCCCTTCACGGCAGGCGTCCAAACGCAGCAATGGCCGACAACAACACATCCAGCCTCAAAA